ATATATGCATGTATGTATGTATTTTTTTTTTTTTTAGATTTTGGATTTAATATTCTTCGTAAAGTAGTGATAGTATGGAGTATAAAGAATATTATATTTGAAAATAGAGTAAACTTAAATCGATCAAAAGCCAAAAAAATATTACACGTGTTATTGATATAAAAATCGATAAGTTAAAGGAAAGCTTACTTAGCTGATAATATGAAAGGGAGTCTTCTAAAAAAACAATGAAGTTAAATTTAAAAGAAATGGAATGGTCATCCTTCATAATTCATATTAGCGTGAGTTAGTTTATTTATACTAGGTAGTGATAGCTCGTGCCAGCACGAGCCCAATATTATAAAAGCCAGAGTATTTATTTCTATTTGGATTGCCTTAATGTACGATTACATGAAATGGTAAAAAAAATAAGTTGGAGTATGTGACTGCATAATATTAAGCCAGGTAATGATAACATTGCATATGTGCTGCTCCATATTATGTACATGCATTTAGGAACAAAATATTTGCACTTTGTATGGTTTCCAATGAATACTTTAATTACATCCCTGGTAAGACTATTTACATTGATAAATGATGATGTGTTAACGCAACCATAATGTTATTGGTATGCACCTCTCTTGCATTGTTTGAAGAGACTCTGGTACCTAAACATATAAGATGTGTGCAAATAAGAAGACAGAGTAAGAGAATTGAAGTAGTTGGTTGCAGTTGACATATCATTTATAAAATTGTTTGTCATATACATTCATATTTTTACGTCATTACTGGTTCCAAAAAAGCAGTAGACTTATCTTTAGCATACTTTAAAAAGATTCTACGTATAAGAGACACTACCAGAAAATGGACCTATGGGAACAGTTATTTTGGCAACGGTTCACAAACCGTTGCCTACAATAAAATTTGGGTGCTATCAGCACACTATTGACATCAAACCGTTGCAAATATAACAAAACCGTTTCCATAGAGTTTTGTTTCGCAACGGATTTGTGAACCGTCCCAATAGACATGCATATGACAACGGTTGTGTGAAACAAATTGCTATGGGAATGGTTATTTATTCCCCCTCGTTTTTTCCGCTGAAAATTTACTGGCCCGCGCCAAACTAATTAATTAAGTGACCTGTATTTTATAATTTTTAATTAATTTAATGCAAAAACCCCTCCGCCCATCGATACACCCAGAACTACTCCCCTCGTCGATACCAAACTCCCATCGTCAAACACCCAAAAATCCCCTCTCTGATCTCTTTTATTTTTGCATCTTTGCCGAGTTTAAGATTAATGGCTGAGTTTCATCAAATACCTCTTCATTAGACCTCCATAATCATCAAACCCTAGATTTCCCAAAGCCCAAAACCGTGAGGACAGTCGGGGACTTCTCCGGCACTTCTTCAGGGACTTCCGTCGATTTTTCGGCACTTCTTCAGGGACAGTTTCTTCGCAGGCACTCCTTCCCCAGATCCCCAAATTCTAAAATCAGATTTGTGCTCGAATCAGAGAAGCCCAAAATCACCATAGCCTGGTAATTTTATTAATTCTTTTGGTCATTTTTACTGTTTTTGTTACCAATTCTATAAGTTTTTATTGTGTTTTTTAGTCTGCTGGAATATGTGATCCCGTATTTGCTTCTGCAGTGACTACTAAACCAGCACCTTTTGAAAGCTATAGCTCCTGATTATAAGTGCATTTTCTCAGTCAGCTGTGAAAGACTATTTCTCTTTGTATGTAGCCACTCTTTCAATTTCTTTTTCACAAGGTATATATATGTATACACAGAATATATATACATAGAGAAGTAGAAGAAAGAGGGAGAAATGGGTTGGTTTCCATGTTCTGGATCATCAAAGCAGACCTCAAAGAAGAGGAAAAAAGAAGAAACACTCGACCAATTCGGTCCAACTTGATTCTGGTAATTAATAAATCTGCATATTTATCATATAAGCAGACTAATTTGATGATTCTTTGAGATGGGTTTGTTGTATTATTGTCAAATTTCTAGGTTTTTATGCAATTTAAAGCTTCAAGTTTTCAACTTTTAATGAATCTGTAAAATGGGTTTGTTTTATTTTGGTCAAATTTCTAGTCTTTATGTTATGTGGAGCTTCAGGTTTTCAACTTTTAATGATTCTTTGAGATGGATTTGTTTTATTTTTGTCAAATTTCTAGTCTTTACGTTATTTGGAGCTTGAGCCGAGGGGCTTTCGGAAACAACCTCTCTGTCCCCGCGCAGGGGTAAGGTGTGCGTATGCACTACCTTCCTAGACCCTACTTGTAGTATTTCACTGGGTCTGTTGTTGTTATTGTTATTGTTATGTTATTTGGAACTTCAAGTTTTCAACTTTTTAATGATTCTATGAAATGGGTTTGTTGTAATTTTTTGTTTTTGGGTCAAATAGTATGTTGGAATTGCATAAACATTCCATTTTTGGCCTATCCCTTGGTGGGTTTGTGTGGTGTTACCGGTTGTGTATTGTATTTGTTTCTATGTGTGATCACCATGGGAATGGCATTTTTGGGTCAAATTGCCTATATTGGAATTGCATAAAGATTTCATTTTTGACTACACTGTGATGGATTGGGTTGGTAATCAGCATGTCATAATTATTATCTATGGTCATAATTGATTAATTATGATCTCTTGTGTTACTTTTCCATCCCAACTGTGTTGCCGTTCATGTGTCTTCTTTTTGTTTTTGTTTGATCCACTTCTCATGTGTCGAGGGGAGAGGTCTCTCACCCTAGCTATATTTTTGAAGGAGGCATCCAGTAGTTCCTCTTCCTCCCCTTCTTCATAGAAATCTCGACCCATGTCCATTCCAAACGTGTCACTTTGATTGTATCCGGACATCACTAATGCACCATGATCCTTCCTCGGATTATCAAGAGCTCTCAATGTATCCATGTTATGTGTAACAAGAACATGGAGAATATTGGTAGGTGTCAAGTTGAATTTTGTTATCAATGAAATTGAACTTCCATCAGTTCTTTCATTTGCTACTGTATTGCGCATTTCTGAAATTTCAGCCTCATTCACCTCTGCTTTTTGCTGCTGCCCAGCTGGAATTAAAGACATGTTGATGTCTTTAGGACCATGTTGAAGTGTTGAATCATTTGCTGCTTTTCTGTTCTGTCCAGTTGGTATAAATGCAGCAGCATTAGGACTTAGTTTCGTCTTGGTTTGCACATTTGGTGGATTACTGGAAACTTGCTCAAAAATAGTTACTGCCCCTTCCTTTGTGTTATCACCTCATTTTGTTGATGAACATGTTTCTTGAGTGTTTTGTTCCTGGGAATCACCAACATAAACTTTATCTTCTTCATACTCTTCTGTTTGGTCAGCCCATAGCTTACGCTTAGAGCTAATTACCTCTTGAAGCTCGTTTAAAAACTGGACAGGTTCATCACTTAGCTCAGCTTCACCTATTACGTCTTCATGTTCTTGTCTTGTGTGGTCAGCCCCTCCCTTTATTGTTGCCGATGACATCATGGATAAAGTTTGTTGGTTGTTTGAAACTTTTACCATGTTGCCAGAGTGATCAAACAAATCATTTGAAGGGATATCATGTTGGGATGTATTCGAACCAACCCTTGCCATGCCATTATTTCCTTCATTCTCCAATTTATTCAAGGTAACCAATGGCGTTTTGATGTTTGGAATTGTGTTTATAAACATCCCTGCTTGAGCATGCCTTACCATTTTAGCTAGATCTGGATTGAGTAGGTGTAGCGTTGATGAGGTGTCCAGTGGTTGACTCGTTTATTTGCAGAAAATGTCCAAAACCAATACAGAGACCACAGATGCTGATGAGAGGATGCAGCAGAAAATAGCGGAAATGGAAGTAACAGTCAAGGTCAGTACGTACCAAATGTTATACATGTTCTTCAATTTTTGATTCTGATAGTGCTTCAAGTTTGCCTAACTTTGAGGCTCAATGATTCTAATTAAAATTGTATTCTTGCATAACATGATGGGGGACATGTGCATCCAGCTCCAATTGTGTTCCTCATTATATATTTGAATATCAATGTGTGGATTTGTTGATGTCCAAGGGCTGAGTATTGTTTATTCTACGCCGAAATGAATTTCCACTTTTCTTCGGGTCTATTCTAACATAGTTTTCCCTTCTTAAAAGAAAAATGTGATTACATATTACATAATTTAAAGGCCAATTTTACACTTCCTGCCATAGCTTTGTTTCTTAAAAGAAATTATTCTCAGAAATATCAAAAGAACAACTTAAAGGCCCGAAAGTCATACTCATTAACGTTTAATGTTAAACTTTTTCTATTCTCATCTTAAAACCTATGCCAAGTGAAAACTTGTCATTCAAGTCTTATGCTAGTTCAGCTTTGAGATTGAACCATACTTGAATATGATTCTCAACTGCAGTGTTATGGTGGTTATTTAATACATGGCTGGTGCAGGTTCTGGCATATGACGACAAGAATATCAAAGCCCTTTATCGTAGGGGTCAAGCTTATAAAGAGCTGGGACAGTTAGAAGTGAGTGTTTATCAACTCTTGTATGACTTTTCTCATTGTTCATTCTTTGTTCCAGTCCTTCCTATACAATGTCAGATATTTGTCAAGTCTTCTCATTTCTATTTTGAACTATAAACAGGATGCAGTGTCTGACTTGAGTAAAGCACACGAAGTCTCACCTGATGATGAAACTATTTCTGATGTCTTAAGGTATTCTTAACATCGGGGCTGCTGTCCAATGGTTGACTCGTTTATTTGCAGAAAATGTCCAAAACCAATACAGAGAATCGAAATAGGTTGAAGTATCCGCACAGATGCTGATGAGAGGATGCAGCAGAAAATAGCGGAAATGGAAGTAACAATCAAGGTTAGTACGTACCACATGTTATACATGTTCTTCAATTTCTTCTACTTCTCCTCCTTCCTTGGTTGGGATTTTGCTTTGGTTCAAGGCAGAGTGGATATGGTAATATCCTTTTTTCTTCTTCTGTTTTTGTTTTAATGCTTGTAATTTCTGAAATCACAATTTTACTTCTTTTCTACATTTTGGATTATCTAATTAAAGCATAAAATTGTTAGCGTGCAAGAGAAGCAGAACTGACCTTTCTATAGGAGTGCATCAATGAGCTTACTGTAGTGCTCAATTTCGACCATATTAACATCTCCAAATATTCCCTCTGAATTTTAAAAAAAAAGATTCTCATCTCGTAATGACAATTAGGAGTTTATTTGTTTAATATGAAGGAAAGAGAGCAGTGACAGTTATACTTACTAGGTAGAATTCTTGCCCATGAGATAGAGAAACGGAAGCTATTCACACCCATATTTTCCATGAGTTTGACGTCCTCCTGTTTACATTTTAATAGTATCAAACAAATCAGAACTATTCCATTTCATGATTTCACAATATCAAAGAGCAAGATCACGTTATCGAAAATCAAAGTTTCTTTTAACTGTAATTTTTAATATTTCAAGTCTTGGTTACTGTATNATGTTTCGTGCTGGTTTTGTAATTATGTTTGTGATTCTTCTTATGCATTATTCTTTACTTTGCCATCATAGCTTGATAGTTTGAAAGTCTTGGTCCTTGGTAATAATATCAGATTGGTATAATGTTGTGTATAGTTTGTTGAGATGAATAACTTGGATTAATAAAAGAACGAAAACAGTTAAATGCTTGAGTATTCTTAGACCGGATTCTGTTGGAGGGTAATAACTTTATTTATCCTCTTTTGTAGGTGGAGTAGATCAAGAAATGGATGATGAAGACGATGAAGAACTAGATCTTACTTGAAATGAATTTTGTATTGTTATAGATGAACGTTCTAGGAATCTTTTTTTACCAACATTTTTGAAACTTATTTACTGTTTTGAAATGTACTAAACTTATGCACGCATGGCTTTATGTATAATTTTGTATTATTAATAGTTTCATTTTATGATGTATTTAAATTTTAGTGTTATTATAATTTATTATATGTATAAATATTTATTTATAACAGGTGCTGTATTTTGGTTTTAACTGAACTGATACAATAGCCTACCAGAACCGTTGCAATAGGACACACATGGCGTTCCAGTAGACAACGTAAACCGTTGCAATAGGTCCCATAAACTGTTCCAAATACAAATATAACTGTTACGATAGCCTAAAGAAACCGTGGCTATATCCAACATAACCATAGCAATAGCTTACATAAGTGTTGCGTTAAATAATATGGTAACGGTTAAAAACCGTTGTATAAACAATATAGTAACGGTTTTGAACCGTTCCAATTGAAAAAAATAACCGTTCCAATAGAGAAAGGGAAAACCGTTGCGATAGACATATCTATTGTCACGGCGATGCAAACCGTTGCAAGAACCGTTCCAGTAGACCTATGGGTACGCCGGCTGATGTGACGGTCTTTAAACCGTCCCAATATCCCTATGGCAACGGTTTGGCAGTCTGTGGGAACGGTTTTTCAACCGTTACCGTAGACCAATTTTTTAGTAGTGAGTGATTTGTGTCTAACCCTAATTGATTGATTAACTGATTTCTTTGCCTTATTTGTGTATCATTGATTCTCTTACCTTATTTTGTTTTACTCCACTATATTCTATAAAACCCTTCATTGTTCTGATTTTCAAGCACACGCTGAGACACACAAGCTCACACCTACAAACCTACACTTACACACTTACACACTTACACTCACACAACATGAGTTCTTTCTATCACTCTGGTTTGATACATTGTCTAGTCGGCTGAAAGCCAAAGATAGACTCTTAGATTCCCATTGCCTTCACCTTCCTGTTTGCTATCTCCTTAACTGGTATGCCTCAATTTCTGCTATCATGTTCTATTCTATATGCTATGTGGTCAGTTTACTATAGACATCAACATGCTTCTGTTTTAATAGCTGTTTCCTGATCATCTCTTTCTCAACTACTATGCTGTAATTCTTATTCCATGTGACTTGTATGACTAGTTTATTTTGAACCTCGATATGTTTTGTTTACTAAATGTTTCCAGTTTACTATCCACTAGTATGTTTTAGCCTTTGTTGTCTCTTTGTTCTAAATGTCTGTGTGGTTAGGTGCTTCAAATTCCAACATGCTACTGCTGGACATTAGTTCATGTTCTATTCTTGTTATCTTGCTCTGTTCATAGTAATTTCAGCATGTTTCTCTGCTTAATACATGTCTATACGATTACTTTGTTTGATTCAGTTGGGTACTGCAAATATGTGTAGGCAGTTCTGTCTATAATTCAACTGTCCCTGCTTTTATTGTGATTGATTAGTTACCGGTATCTATGCCCGAACCAATCTGCTAAATGAGGTTTCTGTTCTATTTGCAGTCTTTTGAACCTGTTTGCCCCTAAGAATCAAACTATTTTTTCTAAAACTATCCCCTGCCCCTTATACACTATTTTTAAACTTCTACTCTTAGTTATCTAGGGTCCTACCACCCCCAGTGTGAGCACTGCCTAGGATCCATGAGACTCCTCTGAACACTGACACATTGGGACTGGTCTTCCAACATGTTACAAAACTATTTCCTTTGAAAGGTTCTGGTGTGAGCATTGCCCGGGGTCCCTGAGGCCCTTGAGAGCCTTGACACATCAGAAGCCCATTTGTGGACTACCTGTGTACATCAGATTTGCTTGCTTGAAGGCCTGGTTTCCAGGTTGATGTTGGGCCTGCTAAGGCTCCCTATAGTGTAATGAATAGCTTTGTGTAATTCATTCACATTGGTCTGTAATAATGTAATAATTCTTGTAAAAACAGATATGGGGTTATTAGTAAAAGCTGGGGAGGGATTTTTATATATCTTTGTCAGGTTCGGGTAGAAACCATGTTTGTAGGCTATTGTGTTGATTCTTTATGTCCATACCTTTAGAAATCATGCCTATAGGATCTTGTCTCACCGTTTGGAATCTGGAGTTTCATACTTGGCATCCTAGAAACCCTTTTTGGAGGTTGCTTTATCAATTCTGCATCAAGAACCCATGTTTCACGCCTATTTTCAAATCTCAATATGCATTAGAGATCACATATGTAGGATCTTCCTTGTGCAAATTACTAAATTTTCATGGCATTCCGTTAATGTCTTTGCCCACTTAGACATCATGTCTATAGGAAAACACTAACTAATCAATTCTGCACTTAGATAGCATGCCTATAGGAAATAAATTCTAATAAGTTCTTCACTTAGATATCATGCCCATAGGAAATAAATATAAAAATCAGTTCCGCACTTAGATATCATGCCTATTAGAAATAAATATAAAAATCAGCTTTGCACTTAGATATCATGTCTATAGGAAATAACACTAACTATCAGTTTCAAAACTTAGAAATCATGCCTATAAGGGTAATTAATTCTGTAAATTAATTAGCATGCCTGTAGGATCTAAAGATAAAAATCTGCCTATTAAAATCAATGACCCGTTTATAAACTGTAGCCTCTAATTGACAGTTTAGATACCATGACTATTGGATTCTGCCCGGTTATCACTTAGGCAAACTGATAGGGTAATTAAAGAAGTCTGGGACTAAAATTGTGATTTCTTGTTGTTTGAAAATGTGCCCAGATACAGAGTATTAACAAATCAGTAGGCAAACTGATAGGAATCGCTGCTCCCTTTAATAAAGCTGTCATATATTCTGTTCATGCTCATCTAGATATCCTGCCTATAGGATCCTAAACTATAAAATTTTGTTTGTTTGAATTGCGTGTATTGGTTGGCTATTTGTGAAGGTTAACAGGAGCCCCATTAATTGCTCCTTATGGACAGTCCTATATGAACTTTTGTTTTTCGCATAGCTTTCTCATTTTTAAGCAACGTAGGTGAGTCTAGATCCATCAAGAAATATAAGTCCTAAACACCTCCAAGACCATAGGTAAGGGACGGGTAATGCACGCATAAGGTATGCATTAGAAGCTACTAGAACGCTTAGGTAATAATTGAAAGATAGTAACTGGGTAGTAAAGGAGATGATGACTTGTGCGTTAATGCTATGCATAACACCCCAATTTAGGGAAAGTTACCAAGTATTCCATGGAAATGATCCTATAGGCTTAAAAATGCAAGCCCCCTTTAATTCTTGTTTTAAAGTAATTATCTATTTGTCTAATTTCCCACAAGACTAATTCGCTTAATTTAAGTTCGGCCGGGACCCACCGTTGTGGACCTCGAGGGGTTCCTAACACCTTCCTCTCAAGGTAATTTTGAGCCTTACCCGATCTCTGGTGACGTAACTGGTTATATGAGTTAACTGTTCTAGGTGCCCTAACACACCTTAATCCGTTAGGTGGCGACTCTTCAAATCCCTTACCCAATCCCAAAACAAAAGGAGTTAACCCAAAAATGCCGAAACCCGATTTCGTGAGAAAAAGGGGGCACGACATTTGGCACTTCCCCAGGGTTAATCGGTGGTACACCGGCTCCCGGAGCAACTGCATTGTTGTTTTCCCCATGAAATCCAATACCATCATCGTCGTGTACGGGTGCGTTTTGTGAGTTCGACATGTTTTTATGAGAACAAAATTTCTTGGCAAGAACAAGTGTGAAAATAGCTGGTGTTATCAGAATCAGTACTGAAATAATTACTATTATCTTTAGTCTCACGGTGGGCGCCATGCTGTTTACTTCGAAATACAAGTAACAATTAAACTTGTTTGTGGTTTTAAAGATACGTGATTGAATTCAATACTAATTAATAAAAAAGAATCAAACGTATAAATTAAAGAAGTAAGTTGAATCAAACCAGCGCTTAAACAAGTCTTGACCTCGAGCTGTGACAGCCTCGAGGTTGGTTAACAAGAACAGTAAAGTAAAGGCGATAAAGCTAAGAGATAATTCTGATGAGTAATGAGCAAGAAAGTAAGAAAGTATATTCTTTTGCCTATGATTGATGATCGTTACAAATGATTGGGGTCCATTTTATATAGTAGGGGAACCTTAAATAAGGTACATTTCTAATTTTAGCAAGGAATCTTATTGGGACATCTGCCGAAACGCCTAGTGCTAATCCGTACAAATCTATTCTGGAATTTGCGCTGAGATCTTGGGGATGTTGTGGGAATCTTGTTCTTTCTATTACAAACCCATAACGGCATCATCAAGGGGTCGGTCACACTCGGCTTCGGTGCTCATCGCGTACTTCGATCTTCGAGCCTTGTACTCTGTCATCGGGCTCGAACTTGGTCCATCGGGCTTGAACTCGACCCTTCCTGAACTCGACTTGAAGCGACTCTTTGAGCCCGTGAAATCGGGTATACCTGATTTCGACCGTGTACAAGAAGATTGTGTACTCTTGTAATATAATAATATTATTACTAAGAATTAGCAGTAGTATGCCAAATATCTTGAAAAAAGTCTATAAATATTGCCCCTTCGTGGAGGATGGAAATGCATCACCATTGATCTAATTACGATCTTATCAACCTCATAGTCTTAAACTAGCTAGTAGTATTAACATGGTTGGAAAACTTGCTATCTTTTTCACAACTCTCATTGTGCTTATTCCTAGTAACTTACTTAATCCTCCTACATGCAATATTGTAAAAATAGATGCATATCGATTGACATGTATGATTTTTTCTTTGTGTTATATTATAATTGTACCAAAATTCGATTTTGGATAATTTGCAGCCCATAAGGTGATGGCGCAACGAGACTGTTTACCGTGAAAATGGTAATAACAATTCAATTTATTGATGGGACTCTAAAAATACGTGATCTATTTTTATGCTAGTTTTTTAAGTAGATGATGCTAAGTGTATGAAGTTTAGAGACGAAACGCAAGCT